AACCCACAAGTTTGCTTCTAAAACACCAGGCCTCACCAAAGGCTGCTGGGACTGCATTGCCTGGAGACCAAGCGTCTGACCCTGGGGCTGTGAGGACTGCTGGGGCTGTGCGGGCTGCTGGGGCTGGGGGGGCTGCTGGGGCTGCTGCATCTGCAAAGAAAGAGAAAGGATTACACATGGAAAAGTAGGGGTTTAATATCATTTCCCAATCTCATATACATATACATCTTATCAAATTATTTTGTTGCAGCAAAAATAAGATATGGCTGCCCCCTTCATCTCTACCTTGTCAAACGTTGCTCATCCTTCACGAGCCAAACAAAAATCTGCTCCTCCCTGAAGCCTGCTCAGGAGCCCCAAGGAGCTCCTCCTTCGGCAGTCCCCGCCCTCGGAATTTGTCATACACTATTCGGGACATCCTTTGTACTTACTGCTTTAACTCCTTTATGCCATTTGCCTTTCCACATATTTCATCCTATCGTACACTATCAGGCTAGGCAAGGACTGATCAGGGCTTATCTTTCCATCCCCTATGACATCTGGATGGAGCCCTGGTGGCAAAGTGGTTAAGCGCTCAGGCTGCTAACCAAAAGGTCAGCAGTTCGAGTCCATCAGCCACTCCTTAGAAACCCTACGGGGCAGTTCTACTCTGTCCTATAGGGTCGCTAGGAGTCAGAATCGACTCTGCTGGCACATAACAACAACGTGACATCTGGATGAACTCTTGAAGCTGAGACTGGATACCTTTTTTCCTACAGGAAGATGCAGACTGGACCCTACGAGACGCGCTGACATCAATTCTCAGCGTAAAATCAGAAACTGTGCCAGTGACGAAGCTGGCTCACATACATAGCTCCTGGAAAACACTTTCAAGTCACCGAATAAACACAGACTAGAAATCCACCAGGTGGGACACGCAAAAAGAGGAAAATACTAGTAGGTAGCTTTTTTTCAATGACCTTTAAATTTTCCTCCACCCAAACACTTCTCTATGCCAGAACAGCATCCCCAAGATGACAGCTCCAGCCTTTTTTCATCCTTTGCATTTTCCAGCACACGGTCCCCCAAATTATCCGGCTTCTTTAGAGCAAGATAATAACCAGTTATGGTCGTGCAGCTTTTCTCAGTAAGTAGAAATGCTCAGGGATGTGGAATCTTAGCAGAGGTCTGGGCGGGGGTCACTCCCAACATGAACAGTGCCAGCTGGACAGAGTGACTGCAACATGAAGTCACCTCTCCGTGTGGCTCTCTGAACTCTTCCAAGAAAAATCAACCTAACTTCACAATGATGACTTTTTTCCTTTACGGGGGTAGCCAGTCATCATAAAAGGAATGAGTAATTCTGATCCAGAGACAAGTCACTTTTTCTTTAACTATCTCCAGAAAATATGATGGTGATGAAAAAAAATTACCAGGAAGACATATTATGTTAATTGTGATAAAAAGCATATATTTATCCAACAAGAAAAGATCTTCCAAATTTGCCTGGAAAAGCATCAATGTAAGATAGGGAGTAATAAGTAAACAAATAATGTATTAATTTTCCTCAGTCGTTTGGAAGTCAGAAACTCTAATAAAACAGAGGAAAATGTAAGGTCAGGCCCACAATGTTCTGAGGCATATCCTCAAAACTTGGGAAAAAATGATTTAAAAATATATCACTATGGATGTGAATCATAATCCAAATTTAACAGTCACACTGCCAAAGTAGTACTTCCCTTACATTTTCTAATTTAATCTTCATTATACATTTGAGAGGTAGGTCCCATAATTATTCCCCTTTTACTAGTGACAAAACGGAGGATCAGAGGGGTTTATTACCATCTTAAGGATGACATGTATACAATGAATGGGATTGGGAACCTGTGGGCACACCTCCACACGCTCCCCCAACTCCAACCAATTCCCCTATTTTATCAATTCTTTGATGCAACTTTTTTTTTCAGATTTTAACAGCTCAAAAATTGGGATGCAACTCATAGCCTCTCAGAATTAATGGCATCTTATGGTTGAGAGGCCCAGTCTACAGAGGATTTGTTCTGGCTTCTGCCTGTCACTTGGAGATACTACCAACCAGAACTTTCTGGATCACCCTGAACAGAGACCTCACACCCACTTGAGCTTGTGGTTCCTATTCCCAGAGGAGTTTTTCTTCCCTCCATTCAGTGTCAAGTTGAGACAGGCACGTGTCTTTGCTGTCTTTTTCTGCACGGCAGGTTTATTTCTCATTGACCTCACACTGACAGTACAGTCCTCTGTGGCCCCGCTCTGTGCAGGGGCATCCTAACAGACTCTATTTGGGGACATTTCTTGTTTTCTCCCCTCTCTTTCTTTGGGGTACATAAAATAAGTGAATCTCAAGTTGGATCGCTGATAAAACTAGGCTACTGGTAAGGTTGGAGCCTGCTGTACAATCTCAGGAGCCCTGATGACTCAGCAGTTGAGAGCTTGGCTGCCAAAAAGGTCACTGGTTCGAATCCACCAGCCGCTCCCTGGAAACCCTATGGGGCAGCTCTACTGTGTCCTACAGGGTTGCTATGAGTCAGAATTGACTCAACAGCAACAGGGCTTTTTTTTTTTTTTTTTTTTTTTGGTACAGTCTCATCAGAAAATCTCTAATCCAGTAACAAATCAAGCTTGTTAGTAATGAAGACAAACGGAACAATTAAACATAATGGCATAAACATCTTAAACAAGGAAGTCGGAAGCAAGAATTTGTGAAGGAGAGAACACTTTAACTAGGAGATTCAAATAATTACATCCAAAAAAGGGCGACTGCTTCTCTGGATTCTAACAGAGCCAAGGTTACATATCCCTTTGACATAGTCTACCCATATTTCCCTATTTCACCGCTTAATCAGACTAGAGGTGTTACAGAAACTTTTTCTGGATTATCAACCCCTCTAAGAATCTGATGAAAGCTCTGGAAAATTCTTTTTTTTTTTTTTTTAAGCACAGATACAAAATTCCTCATTCAACTGCAAGGCCCTAGTTAAAAAGTGACTATGTAAACTAGGTTTATGCTAATGGAGATGAAGGCATCCACCCGCCCTCTCAAATTTCTCTGTCAGGACAAAGATGATCTGCAAAACACACTCTCCAGACCATGAGCTGGCAGCTACACAGAGAAAGGAAGACTCTTGCTGGCTTAGAACTAAACTGCAGGAGTTTAGCATCTAGTGTCAGATACACAGCGCTCCCTGGACCTTGCTAAATTAACATCTGAGCATCTTCTGCTTCCTGTGACTGCTGTGTATTTGCACGGTCTGTGACGGAGGGCCCATCCCGCGCTGCCCTCAACTTCCTGGCCCGTACCTGGAGGAGTCTCTGCTGCTGTCGAACTTGTGGCTGTCTAGGCCTCATTGGGTCCTGAGGCAGTGGGACCGAGGGGAGGTTTGGATGTGCAGAAGTCAGCACAGCATCGATTCCCCCGCTCACCAGAGGGCTCTGCTGTAGGGTCTGATGATTCAGTCTGGCAAAACATAATGCAGCTTAATGCCCAAGAACACGGCCAAGTTCTTATCAGTGCCATTAGCACGTTACAATCATTCACAAAGAAACAATCTGTGTTCCATAATCACTCCTGCAATTCAAATGCGATAAAGGCCAGCGGTTAAAATATCTAGACGCCCAGGGACAGATGTGATCACTTGACAAAGAGAAAGAACATATGGGCAAGCACGCTTACCATTTAAATTAAAGGTGCAATCACGTAAAAATTACTTTTTTAAAATATTTGTCATCATTTTTAATAAGAAGTGACATTAATCAAGCATTTACTCTGGGACAGGCACTGTGCTAATGGTCTGAAACATGTTATTTCATTTATTCCCACAACAGCCCTTTGGGGTCGGCAGTTTTCGTATGCCTACTTTAAAAATGAGAAAACAAAGAACTAGAGAAATAACTGATCCAAAATTACTCAGACAGTGAATGGCACAGGTGGGATGTGACCCTAGTCCTTTTGGACTCTGGAGTTGAAGTACTCAAGCAATGTGCTATGCTGCCACATATTATAAAAATAATGAATATAATGCATGCTTTCCAAATTAATTTATTTTCCCAAATGTGCTACCATGGACCTTTTCATTCAAACAGTCCTTACTTGGAGTTGACACGTAGCCACGGATGGTATTACATGGGAGCTATGCTGCTATCCATCATTATGCGAAAGCTGGCGTGAAACTTAACTCTTCTAGGCCAGCATACCCAACAGAACTGTCTGCAGTGATTGAAATGTTCTATATCTGCACAGACCAATAAGGTGGACAATGGCCACGAGGACTGGCTACATAATTTACGGGGCCCAGTGCAAAATGAAAACGCAGGGCTCATTGACCCAAATTGAGTACACATTTCAAGACAGTGACAGGAGGGCATTAAACCCATCGTGTTGTGGTTGTGGTTGTTATTAGGTGCTGTTGAGTCAATTTCGACTCATAGTGACCCCATGTGACAGAGTAGAACAGCTTCTAGGCAGAAAGACCTGGATCGCCTGGTCTTTTGCCATTGGGTGGGTTTGAACTGCCAACCTTTCAGTTACCGCCACCAGGGCTCCTTAGCGAATCACGAGGACTTCTAGCACAAGGCCCTGTGCGATCTCACAGGTCACGTGTCTAGGAAGCTGGCCCTGCTGGTGGTATGTACCTACTGTATACTTGAAATGTGGTGAATGTGACTGAGGAACTCAATTTTTTATTTTAATTAGTTTGAGTTTAATTTAAATAGCCACGTGGGGCTGGTGGCTACTGTAAGGGACAATGCAGTTATAGACTACGTCTAAGGGATCTGATTAAAACAAGATCATAAAAGAGTGTATCATGATCCTCTTTTGCCAAACACTTCCGAGGTAGAAAAGGTAGAAACTAAGATACGACAAAATTCATATGAGCACTGTGGGCAATTAGTATTGCAATTTTATTAGCCATCATAAACTTTATGGCTCCGATCAACATGTTCTAGTAAGGCACTGCTGACAATAATCAATGCCTTATTAGATATCCATCGACAATTTTACATCTTAGAGATTTTTAGCCAAAAAATCTTTTTTTAATAAAAGAGAGCAGAAAAAACCCTGGCGCCAACACAGCAGGAGCTTCTAAACATATCAGACCCACACCTTGGAAGTGCGAGTCCAAACTACCGGGGTCTTGAATGAAACACACAAGATGGGTCATGGCTCATCACGAACCTCTACCTCAATGCTACCCAAGGTGATATGACAGAATGGAAATTATATGCAAATATCAAACTCATAAAAATAATTATACAGCACCATGCCTGAGAAGAAACATAACAAACGTTAGAATGTGAGCGTTTAATATAGCAATCGTTATTTCTACATGTGTCACCTCTGAGAGCTGGTCAAGGACTGCAGGTATGGCGCCGCCTGCTGCTGGACATAGCCACTGGGTGGCTGCTGCATCTGTCTGAGTCTCTCCATGAGCGCAGGGCTGGAGTGTGCTGCTGGGTAGGTTCTGGAGTTATAGCCGGGAGAGAGGACCACACTGCCAGCCTGCTGCTGTGGCATCTGCTGCAAGGGCATCTGTGTTCCGTACATCGTATAACCCTGGGGCATGGTCTGCAGGCAGGCACAAGGGAAGAAGTCAAAGTCTGGGTTTACCAGCCCAGCTCTACTATCACTAAGATATACAGGACAAAAACAAACCCAGTACGACCCCTTGAAGTTCACTGTTTCCAAATGACCTCACGACTCACAAACAAAGGAGGTCTACTCTGGAGGGCTTGTGTGGCTCAACGGGAATGGCAGTCGAAAGGCGGGAGACTAGCCAGAAAGCTCTCTAAACGAATGGGGTGGATAATGATTCACCAGAAACTCCAACTGAAGACATGAGTCCCTCGCTTGGTCAAGCTGCTTCTGAAATCAGCTGCTTGTATTTGACAGAAAGAAGGGCATGTTTCTGTACAGAAATAGGCAGGGAAGCATCATCCCTTTAGTGAACCAATGACATCAATGTTAAACAGGTGCCAAGCACTGTTCACGTAATTTCCAACATTAGTCAGAAAAGCTACCTGTGCCCAGTGTACACTAAAATAATGGAATACACACTCCCAAAATGTGACTACACCGCTCTGAATCTGATGACGGTGTCTTTCGTATTTAACCAGTTACAAAAAACTATGAGTACCCTAACTAGGGTGTACAGGTTCAACCGGTGATGGGTCAATACTCTCTAGTCCTGGCTGAGCCATAGTCAGTTTCAGTTCTCTACCAATAATCTGAGCACTTTCTATATTCAGTGTTAATATACAAATGCCTATGTCTCTAAATCTTGACACCTAATGTAAATGAAAAACCCGAGGTTCTGCTAGATCACCGCCTGTCACTTACAGAACAAGAGCGTTGACTAAAGAAGAAGAACGTTATTCTTCAAATCCCAAAAGCACCCCATTTTAAGGCAGTCTAATGATGGCTCTAATTGGGAAGACCGGGTTACAGCCATGTATATTGAATTTCCAGCAGGCAAATGAATGGATCTGGGATGATGGGCTCAATGCCTGGGCAGGCTAATCTCATGTTTCCTTTCAGCTGTGGACACAGTTTGAACTATAGGCTCCTACCAGCAGTCTTGCCCAACGCCTTTGGCATTATGAGAGGGATAGGGTAAGAGAATAAGGGGTGCACCTGTAACAAAATTATCAGAAAACACTACTCCAGATTCACGGTGCATTAAGGCAAGTATATAATTTGTTAAGCATCTGCTGTGTATCTGGCACAGTGCTAGCTCCTTACGTAGGATATCTTAAATCCTCACAACCTTCAATTCTATTTTACAGAGAAGGAAAGAAAGGCTCAGAGACCGAGTAATTTGAACAGGGTTACACGGGCAGAAAGTTATCATGAGCTGTACCCAGGTCTAATACCAAGTCCCCTCACCTTCTTGTTCTACCATCGTTCCTCTTTAAAGCTATCTCTGAACATAACAATCTCAAGTATGAATTATCCACTTATTATTGACATAAAGTAAGTATGCTGGGACTGTCAAACATTTCAACATCCACCATCACCATTAATACAGAGGTTTCAATTTATTTAAGTTTTTAGTTCAAGAATTTCCTAAAATGTTTCATAGTCTTTAAATTCACCAACCCTGAGACTTGTTCAACAACCACCGGTAGTGCTTTTCTGGAGTATCAGTTCTAGATCCTATAAAGGAGTTGATATCCTATTTACTTGATTTCTCTCTTCAGAAAAAGAGCAGAGAAATCCTGGTCGTGTCTATGAAGCATAGGTACCTGTGCTTGCTGCAGCCCTGGATACTGAGGCAGCTGAGGCGAGGGCCGTGCTTGTGCAGCAAAGAGAGCTGCCTGGTCCCCTGGCTGGCCCTGGAAAACAAAGCCAACACAAACTCTTCATCATAACAGCAAGAGCTTCACTGGAGCTCCTGGACAATAATCCCAATAACCCACCATGTCAAGTCTCGTTACATGAACACAGAACTTGAAGATTTTCCAGCTGCGCTAACTACCATCCGTCAATTAACTACTATTCATCAATTTCCTTTTTTCTTTCCAGGATGACTATATATGCCCTCAGTGATAACACAGACATAAATACACGCCAAAGGAATCAATGATTTGCTCTGAGGCAGCTTCCCAGTATGCTCAGGGTTATAAATGACCCTTTGCCCTGAAAGGCGTCAATCTGTAAGTGTGAAATCTGACACAACAGGGCTGTAACCCCTGGGGCCATAAAGGAAGTGAACATGTATCATATACAAATGGTATATAAAAATTTTATGACTTTTTAATGACATTTTTTCAAAGTGACCTAAAAACAGCCAATTTAGCCATGTTTTCTAGGGATGAATTTGGTACCTTCTATGACTCTACTCGTAAGGAGCCTTGGCGGCACAGTGGTTAAGTGCTCGGCTGCTAACCGAAAGGTGGGTAATTCAAACCCACCAGCTGCTCTGTGGAAGAAAGATACGGCAGTCTGCTTTCGTAAAGATTACAGCCTTAGAAACCCTACGGGGCAGTTCTGCTCTGTGCTACAGGGTCTCTGTGAGTCGGAATCGACTCGACAGCAATGAGTTTGGTTTTTGGTACGACTCTACTTATCAATTAGAAAATAGTCAATAATAATGTGTAAGTTAATAGCAAATTACAATATCATTAAAACAAACCAACATCTGCTCACCAATCTTATTTTACTACATGTTTTGACCTTGGGAAAATAAATCTATTCGCTAAGAACAGCTGTATGTGTGTTTGCTTTGGTGGCAGAAGGTAGCTTGCAGTAATGATCATGGACAGGCCCTGCTTCCTAGCATCCCTAGGTTTCTTCAAGTAACTACAAAGAATGAGGCTTATTCTGGGATTATTTTACTATTTTTACAACAGGCATCCTCATTAAAAAGAGATGCTAAATTATAGTTATACCAAACCATTTTAAATGTGTTTGGACAGCAGTGTAGGTATTTCTAGCAGGGAGATGGGATAAACCAGCTTTAGAGGGAGAGCATCAACAATGATTAGCACTGATGACATGCCAGGCACTGGGCTTCTTGTTCTTATTCTTTTTTTCTCACAGGAACTCTATCGGAGAGGGAAGTCATCCCATCGTCTTCAGATGAAAAAAAGCCAGCCTTCAAAGAGCTCAACAAACTTCCTGAGTTGACCCAACGAGGCCTGGCGGAGCCGTGATCTGAAATCACATGAGTCTGACTCAAAGCCCAGGCTCTTTCCATTATTACAAGATGCCTCCATGTGTGAGATTAAGATGACAATACTTAAATGTTTATTTGGTGCTTATTCTTTAGGAAGACACAGCCTCTTAAAATTACCCCAGTAAGAAACTGAGAAGTGAATCTCTATGAAGACTTATTAATGAAATATTGGCAAACATTGAAACCAAATATATACATAGGATGGTGAAGTCTTCTCTCTGAGTCCCACATGAAATCATTTGGAGGCATTTATGAAACTTAAGACTCTCCTAAGGTGACTAACGGAGCCCTGGTGGCGCAGTGGTTAAGAGCTCGGCTGCTAACCAAAAAGTCAGCAGTTCAAATCCACCAGTCACTCCTTGGAAACCCTATGGGGCAGTTCTGCTCTGTCCTATAGGATCACTATGAGTTGGAATCGACTCAATGGCAATGAGTTTGGGGTTTTTTGTTTTTTTTTGGGAAGGTGACTATCTACTCGATACATAGATCAACCATTAATTTCTCAGAGTACCTTACTATGGGGCCTGTACATTAACAGCTTCGACGAGAACCTAACTTTCCAGAATAGGGTGTGGTGAAGATACCCTCAGCCATTAGCTGATGACTCCATTAAGTCCAACTGTATCTCCAACTCTTCATTTAATTGTTTGAGAACCTTGTGAAGCAAACTATGCTATGGGAGGAAAAACTAGAGCACTAATAAGGTAAACATCTGAGGTACTGGGAAATAGTCTTCTATGGACATTCATCATCTGAGATCATGACGATGTAAGAAATATGAATTCAAAACTATTTTTCTGCATAAAAATTTAAAAACTACCAATCAAAGAGAAAGCACTGTAACTTTAAAAGAAGCATGGAGAAATAAAAAATTTTCCAAATACAATTTTGAACATCTCAAATTTACGCACTCCCAATCATTGACGTCTAAAGGTATGCATTAAGTTCCTTCCTGCCCAGTTTTTCCCAACTCAATACTTAAGCCCACTGCCATCGAGTTGATTCCGACTCATAGTGACCCTATGGGGCACAGTAGAACTGCTCCAATAGGGTTTCGAAGGCTATAAATCTTTACAGAAGAAGACTGTCAAATGGTTCTCCCGCGAAGCAGCTGCTGGGTTCTAACCGCTGACCTTTCAGTTAGCAGCAGAGCACTTTAACTACTGCACCACCAGGGCTCCATCAATACTTAAGAACAGTAAGTAACTAAATATGCATCAACCTCCTTGAGGAATCATAAACTTCTCAAGTTAGTTAGCACTGTCTTCTGTGGTCATACACTGTCCTGAATGGAAAATACCCGTCTCTCCCACCAGGTTGGAATGGCCTCTTATTTTTCTTGGTTTTTCCCACATTTATGCCAGGAACACATTATTTCAATTTGAAATAGTTCAATTTGCTGAGGAAAGGATGAGTGACTAAGCACAGTTCTTCACAACTTGAAAAAGTTTATAAATGCTAAAAGAGAACCATGATATAGGGAGAAATGAGGAAACTATTAAGACTGAGGATTAGTACAAATGTTTAATGTTGGTGGAGGGTTTTGCTTTATCAAGATATGCATTAAACTAGGGACTATACAATATACCATCTAAGCTGGGACACTTTTGAGAGAGAAAGAAAGTCTATTAATAAGGAGGCCAGAACAACAGGGGCAAACTGGGGCTGTGTGGAGCAAATTAGGACATACGGTCTCCTTTGTTATAGATAACACACTTATCTATTATTTTATGAAACCTTTCTAAGTTTTATTTATTTTTAGTCAGTTCTTAGCACAATGTCAGGAGGGACCAGTCCCTGGAGAAGGACATTATGCTTGGTAAAGCAGAAGGTCAGTGAAAAAGACAAAGACCCTCAACAAGATGGACTGACACAGTGGCTGCAACAATGGTCTCAAACACAGCAACGACTGTGAAGATGGCGCAGGACTGGGCAGTGTTTCATTCTGCTGTACGCAGGGTCGCTATGAGTTGGAACCGACTCGATGGCACCTAACAACAACAGAAGTCTGGCATATAGCAAGTGTTCAATAAATATCCGTTGACAAAAACTAAGATTTAATTTAGTTTACCTGTTAACCAAGAGATTCACAGGTAAATTAGAATTTATATTTTCAGCATAAGTATCTTTACCAAGTGCTTTCCAAATGTCCCATACTTTTTAGCACTGCTTTTGTTTTGAAACTCAATTTTTAAGTTAATTTGCCATCTATCATTCTACTAATTTCTGCTTTCTGCCTGCCTGCAGTAGTACTTGGAAAGCAGCATTATTCCCCCTCCGGATTTATTTTGGAGCCCTGGTGGCACAGTCGTTAAATGCTTGGCTGCTAATCAAAAGTGGCAGTTCAAATCCACCAGCTGCTCTGTGGGAGAAAGATGTGGCACTCTGCTTCTGCAAAGATTACAACTTTGGAAACTCTATGGGGCAGTTCTACTCTGCCCTATAGGGTTGCTATGAGTTGGAATCGACTCGACAGCAACGGGTTTGGTTAATTTTGATTTATTCTGTTTAACTGAAACAATCAGAGGCAACAATAATCTCATATTTTTATGAATGAAAGAATAGTCCTGGAGCATGGTTTTTGACAAAGTATTTGTGTCAAGCCAGGTATCATATAACTTGGAGAGAAAATAAGATGTGTCTGTGCCCCTGCTCAAGCTATTGTGGCTCAGGTACCTAACTTGCATATTATTAAGGGAACAAGCCACAGTTGACTGAGAAATTCTGATAACATCAGCTTATTACTACCTGATCTAAATTCCTACACAGGCTTTCTTTTGTTCATTTTCATGCACTTTGCTCTCGGTTTGCTTCTGTAAAACCCGTTGCCATCGAGTCGACTCCGACTCAGAGCAACCCTACAGGACAGGGTAGAACTGCCCCATAGGGTTTTCAAGGAGCCGCTAGTGGATTCCAACTGCCAACCTTTTGGTTAGCAGCCAAGCTCAAGAGCTACATAAACCCGTTATTTGCTAAAATTTCCACCTTCTAAAAACTTCTGAAGAAGCTGTGCTGTTCAATATTGGCTCATCCTCCTAGCCTCCATGAGAATAATTCTCTTACTGCTTTGTTTTTCATTGGACAGGAGAAATATCTGAAGTCAAAGAGATGCTGCCTCTAAGATCTTTTGCATAATGTGAAAATAATGCATCTAGTAAGTTAAAAAATTTTGGTAAATCATCCATAATTTTCATTCTCCTTGGTCCTGTTCTCTCCTCCATTAGCAACTGCTCCCTCGCTCACTTGACCAAATGTGAGTTCTCTTTTCAAAAGACACTCGGTCATGCCTTCAGTCAGCAAACAGCAGTACAATGGACATCGGTATTTTAAAATCTGGAGTTCTTTACCCACTGAATTGACTAGTAATGAATTTTTCAAATCCTCAGTAATCTATTTTCAGTAGTATTGAAGGGTCGTAAGTAGAGAAACAGAGCCCAGGTGGCACAGCGGTTAAGAGCTCGGCTGCTAACCAAAAGGTCGGCAGTTCGAATCCACCAGCTGCTCCTCGGAAACCCTATGGGGTAGTTCTACTCTGCCCTATAGCATCACTATGAGTTGGAATCAACTCGATGGCAGTAAGTTTAGCTTGGGTAGGAAGTAGAGAAACAAGCTGGATCTGGAAAATCAGTCCGGTTTTATGATTTTGTTTCTGAAAAC